TACAGCCAAGGCCGGCGTGATTCTGAAAGGGGGACGGCGGCTGGCTGGCTGCCCTGATTCACTATCCAGAAGCAATTCATCTTGAAGGTTCTGCTTTCATTTCCATATCTGTTCATATAATTATAACCCCGCCGGTTCCTCCTTCCACACTGACAGCTTTTATTAATCCTTTGCCAGTCTTGCTGCCGTAATTTTGTATTTGGAGGGATGAAGTGCCTATAGAAGAGGTCTTGGCCTTCCATGACCCCCCCACCTTGTATACTACAGACCACTTGTGGCTATTCAATGAACTCAATGAATCAATTCAGACGAAATAATGTACACAAAGGGCCATTCCATCTTCTCGGAGAGGATGCAGCACCCAGTTTATGGTTCAAAGGGACCCTTTCACTTTGACCGTTACAGGTTCTCTTCATGGGGCAGCTCCCCACCCACTGACACACTGAATCCAATCCCTGTATGAGCCCCGTGACAGTCTGTGTCAGAGCTTCCCCCCTCCTGGATGTGACAGTGTTGAGCATTGCATCTGGAGAAGAAGGGGAGAAGGTCACATGATCCACCATACCCGGAAGTACTGATTATCTCTAAGGAATCAGACGGCACTGCCCTGGGATTCAAAGAATGATCATCACTTCATATGGTGGAGGGAAGAGGTGTGTCCTATGAAGAGAACCTGTCACTGGGGGTATATGGAGGAGGGAGAAGGTGTGTCCTATGAAGAGAACCTGTCACTTAGGGTATATGGAGGAGGGGAGAGGTGTGTCCTATGAAGAGAACCTGTCACTTAGGGTATATGGAGGAGGGGAGAGGTGTGTCCTATGAAGAGAACCTGTCACTTAGGGTATATGGAGGAGGGGAGAGGTGTGTCCTATGAAGAGAACCTGTCACTGAGGGTATATGGAGGAGGGAAGAGGTGTGTCCTATGAAGAGAACCTGTCACTGTGAACTGAATGCGCAAAGTGATAATTTCTTTCAAAGGGTTAGTCCCTCCAAAACTGATTGTGGTGGATGCTGGAGAATGAACATGCCTAATGGTTTGCCTTCTATCTGACCTCCGGCCTTCCCTTCAGCCTTCTATCTGACCTCCGGCCTTCCCTTCAGCCTTCTATCTGACCTCCGGCCTTCCCTCCGGCCTTCCCTTCAGCCTTCTATCTGACCTCTGGCCTTCCCTTCAGCCTTCTATCTCCCATCAGGGCATTTTGATATTAACATAACTCATTCCAAGAGCCTGTCCATTGCTTATATCAGGGCTGAGGGTTCATGAAAGGAGTACTGAGGCAGAGTGCCGTGATGTTTTCAGAAAGCTATGTGCAGCGCCCTGCTGACTCCTCCCACTAGCAATGATCTCCCTACTTTGCATAGAGAAGCTCAGAGACCCAGTGATGAGAAGGTCTGTCATGAAAACAGAAAAGTTATATGTAAAAATGTCATTACCATGTTGCTGAGGGAAAGCGGGAACCAGGGAAGGAAAAATATAGGTGGTGGTGACAGTCACTGTATTACTTTGCTCGGGGGCTCCTGTTGTGCGTCAGGGAAGCCTCTGCTTATACAAGTGACTTAATGCAGTTTTATGGAGCGTACCAGTTACATAAACAGGGGTGTGGGTGTGATTTATAATGTCCCGGAGACTGCTGTCTGCTCTCTGTGTCCTCAGCACTGCTATCATCAGTACCAAGCTCATCGCTGTGGTATGCAAGGGGGCGACTTGGACCTCTCCTCCTGTCCGGGCCGCCTGTGAGCGTTTACATGGCCATTGCCCGGCTTCTCTGTTCCTGTGCAGCAGTTGTCCATCAGACCCCTTTCTATTGGCATTTCTCTTTCCACCCGTCACCCATCTGTTCCTTACAGAGGAGAGGTTGGCTCTTCGTGCGGGCTATTTCGTGTGCCACATAATCCCGCTGGAGGGAGTTGCCCGGTAATTATGTCTTGGTCATGGTATGTCATCGTTGGCTCGCACCGCGGCGGTGACATAGACAGCTGCAGTTATCTGTCACCGGCTGTGAATGGGAATCTCTGTGACACATGGAGCTTAGCTTAGGAAACACAGAAGAGGAGATCCAGAATCTTCATCCGCATCTCTGTAGAAGCTTTCCCCAACTATTCTAAAATGTGTCTAATGACTGGAAGAAATGTCTGTAGGTGGAGATTGTTGATAGTCTGGTCTCTTCCGCCATAACACGTTTTGCTATTTATGTGCCAGTTGCTGCCCATGGTGAAGTTTAATATATAATCTCCATATCTATCATTTTTCTAATAATTTTTTTCCGGTACTCGCTGATAACGAATACTGATACCGGAAGTCCCATTAAGGAAGCCAGGAGGTGTGTAATGACGCGGCGCCCGGCATTCCTGATTGGCTGGGAAGCCATCTCCATGCTCCTTCATCACGAGCTTCCCGGCTTCCCGTGTAAAGACTTGCTTCACGGCTTCCTGATACCGGAAGCTCAAGTATCGCAGTAGGTATCGTCACAAGTGACGAGGGAGTATGAAGCCGGTTTCCCAACCAATCAGGAAGCTGGGCAGCGTGTAATGACTCGCTGACCAGCTTTCTGGTACAGGATATTTTTATGGAAATAATCGTTAGCTGCAGCCCTAATCATATGATCACTGCGGTAGCCAATCGCAGTGATCAGTAGTTTTGGCCCCTGTCGGTTTCGATCAGCGGGGGATCCATGCACGGTTCCCCCGCTGATCGGAACAGTGCGGAATGGATGTCACTATTGTGTTATCTGTCCAGTTTTTTTTCCCTTCATCTTGCAATGGAGGAAAAAACTGAACTTGGCAGACCCCCATGTTGGCCTATGGGGAGTCGGATATAAATGCGCATGTCTCCACTTTCAGCAGATTGCCCCGATCCACCATGACCAGGTCTGCCAGAATGGAACTCTATTCCATTTGGTTTCCCAGACCTGGCAAGAGTCGGGGGTAATTGGATGTAACCGGATGCACGTCCATTTAGATCTGGCTGCCCATAGACTAACATGGGCTTCTGATCAGATCCGCCTAAAAAAGTAACAGGCGGCCCTGATCACGATGCCTGTCTGAAAGGGTTGTTTCTCCTCCTGTAAGATGAAAATGATACATTGGGGTGGATTTTCTAAAATTGGAGCAGGTGTAATCTGGAGCAGCTGTGCATAGAAACCAATCGGCATCTCTCCATCTAGTGTAGCTTTGAAAATGAAAGCTAGAAGCTGATTGGTTGCCATGCACAGCTGCTCCAGATTGTCTGCTCCAGTCTTAGTAAATACATAACATGGGAAATTCCTGTGCTCCTCGGCTCCATCTAGTGGTGGGAATGCCATGCAAACGGCATGCACCCAGCATATGGTTGGGCAGAAGATTTATAAATCGTCCCCTAAGTAGTTGCAAAGGTGTGCACAGGTTTACTAACGCATGCCAAGGTTGCAAAATGGGGTTCAGGTTTGTTTTTTCCTTCATCATGAAGTGACCCCCTTGAAGATTAAGTCCACCATTTTGTTTGGGTTTGTCATGCTGCCGTATAAGCTGTAGTTTCCCTTTAAGCACATTCCTCCCCTCATATGCTCCGTCAATGTCTCATTGATTTTGTACTAAATGGGCTATTTGTAGTTTGTAATGGCCGGGCCAGTAACCGCGGAACGTCTGCAGCGCACCCAGCATATTCTGTGCGCTCTGCGTCCCCCCCCGGCCACGTCTCTTGCAGCAACTCGGTTTCGTCTTTCAGGGATCTTCATGTGTTTCAGTGTAATTGCATTGTGCAGCTGTCGGCTTTCTCCTCGGCCGGAGGATAAAATGTCAGGGGGATCGGGCTAATTCCGACAACCAGGGAGAGAAGTCATTTTTATTATCGGCGGCATTAATTAAATTCATGGGAAAGTCAGTATTACTCGGCGTCCGAGATAGGAATTGTTTCCTTGACTCTACCTTCTGTTCAGACATGAAAGTTGTAGTGTCCGGCAACAAGTGGAGTGCCAGTGTCATACAGGCATTCATCCGAGTTGTAGTCTGGCCCCATGTATGTGACACATTTAGTACACAGCCTCTGGTGTGAAGTGTTTGTTGAATGTGACGGTTCTCTGGAGTATTTTTTGAATATGTCCCATTGGGCGGTGAGATGTTTACACCCTTCATATGGCTGCCTAGGAGTGGAGCTTTCCCATTTCTGTGTCACAGATAGGTCTGTGTATTGACTGCTACGATCCCTCTTTTGTCATTTGTGTTCCAATTGGCTTTGCCGTGGTTCTCCTGTTTGTTTTTAGCGGGCTGGTGTCCCCGTGCCTCTGATTTTAGCTTCCATACCTCTTTCAGCGGCCCGTCCTGAACTGATTCTGGGCCTGAATAGGAATTGTTCATTTGACTAACTTATCATTGGAAATAACCGCTAAAAAATGGCGGCTATGAACATTTTGGTCTCTGTCAGAATGGAGGTCATACCTGGTGTCACGTCCTTAAAGATAAACTCCAGGATGCATTTAAATGGATGCATCCGATCCTTCAGTTAGTATTACAGCTTCTTTGATGGGGTTGGGGCAGACATCACCTCTATACAAGCAGCGTCTGTGTCCTGCTCAGAGACCGGGGTAATTGGTGCAGTTGGGTTGCATTGGCATGCAGATTGCTACTATGGATGCCCACACAGCATGCAGGCAATGCAATCACACGCCATGTAGCCCAGCTGATCAGGGGCTGTACCTATGACAGCCTGGCTGCTGATGATGGAGTTGTATGATGAGGGACATCACATCGTTCTATCTGGACGTACAGCGGCGGCCGAGTGATTCATAGGACTGTGCCACAATGTGGAGAGGAAGCTGACTCCATAATGATCCATTCATGGAAGACGAAGGCTGCAGTTCAGCTTTAATTTTGTATGCAGTTCTATCCGTTCCTGGCTATTCATTGTCAATTTATACTTCTATGCCTGCGAGTCCAAACCAGCTGTACTGTCATTGTAGGTTGGAAGGCTGTATAGTATTTTTATATGTTTGTCTCATGTCTACCACTATATTGTCTTTTAACAGAAAAAGATGGGAAGGCTTTCCACCCAACATATGAAGAGAAGCTGAAGCTGGTGGCTCTTTACAAGCAGGTTCAGCTGGGCCCTTACAACCCGGACACCTGCCCCGAAGTCGGATTCTTTGATGTCCTCGGCAATGACAGGAGGCAAGTCTAAATTTTATGTCTGGTTACTTACACAAAGCTCGTACTCAGTTCTTAGACTGTAAGCTTGTTTGGGCCGGGTCCTCCCCACCTACTGTTTCTGTATGTCAATGATGCTTGTCAGTGTTTCTTACTTGTCTTGTCTAAACGATTGTACAGCGCTGCAGAATATGTTAGCACTATATAATTAATTTAAATTGTAGTTATTAACAGTCTGTAAGCGGTTTCCATTTACTGCAATCCAAATCAATGCTCCTCAATGCTCTGTAGCCGGCATGCTGGGTGTATCCGGCAGTAAATCTTGGCTCCAATTGTAGTAAAAACGATAAAGGGTCTCATAAAGGCACCACAGTAAAACTGGCGATTCTGCCACGGTCAGGCCCGTGCACACCAATGCGGCAATCCTGCACAATTCCGCACAGGTTGCCGCGCGGTCAGGAATCGTATAGGTGTGCATTATTTTCCAATGGCACGGCAGTACCTTTTTTCTGCGATACTCGCCGCGTGGCTGTTTTTATCGTGTTCAGAAGCACTGGCGGAATTGCGGTGGGAAACTGCCCGGTGATCCGCTCGGTGTGACTGGGGTGCCGTTGGAAACTAATGGCACCCACGGCGCGATCGGTGCACACCTATGCGAGTACTGACCACGCGGAATCGTGCACAGTGGGGTGTCGCATAGGTGTGCAACGGCCCTCAGTGTCACCACCAGTCGACGTGTGTACTGGTGATTCGAGTGCCCCACCACCTGTCCCTCCTACCCTTGAAAGCTAAATGAAGGAATAATAAATTCCTGTGTCCTTTTTGGTTTATGCTGAAAGCCTTCTCTAAGGGGCCCATTTAAAACCGAGGAGTATCGGCGCGGGACATCATCACTCCAATTACTCTAAACAACGGCTGGATCTCATGTCTTATTTATAATATGCAGAGTGCATTGAGGAGGCTGCAATGCCTTCAGTGTGTTCTCTGCAGAGAACACTCCCTGCTAGAACAGCCATGTCACATGACCTGTCAAAGTCATGTCACATGTTTCCTCCTGCAGCAGAATGAATAGGTCTTCCCTTGTTGAGTCCCAAACCAAATCACATTTTTAAAGCACAATGCCTTGCTTTTTTACCATAGCACTGCATTATAAATGGGGAATTAAGGGTCATGTGATCGAGTGTTACCAACTAGCCTCCCTCTGCCTAGGCTTGGAAATAGGAAACAGACCAAAGGGATCATGTGTCTCAATGCTGGAACATCATTTTATGGAAGTTGGTATAATTTGTTCCATATAGGGAAGGGGTTCTATGGCTTCCACTTTAATATAGATCAAGTTATTGGAAATGCAACTGAATTACAAACTGTCACAAACATATGTGCAGCCAATAAAAAAACATGCAAATACCTGATTGATCATCTTGATCTGATCTTAATAGAATCGAATACAAAAGGAATAAATAGTGGATTTGGCTAGCATAGCAGTTGCCTCTCGATCATCAATATGCTGTTTGTCAGATGGAGTCACATGTATGAACTGACATTTTGTATCTTTAGCTGATAGAAATGCCAGTTCTTATCCTTGTCTCATATGCATGTCATTGTAAAGTACGGTATACACGGGTAGAATTTGGCACAGCAGTTTGTACAAATAATCCCGTCGGAACGTTTAATACAGACCTCAGGAACTTGCGGATTGTCATTCTAAATTTTGTTTAATTTTTATTTAACATTTTATTTTGGAATGAATGGAGTTTCCAAAGAAAAAATCACATTCACTTCAATCGAGAAATTTTCCAACAAATTAACAATCTGTGTCACCGTAGTCAAAATCAAACATCGGCTTGACCCCCGTCAACGATTAGAAAGTCGAACGAATGTTCCAAAATCAATTTCGTTCGTTCGAAATTCTAACCGTGTATCCGCTACTTAAGTCTGCACCCAATATATCATTGGAAAGAGGGACTGTGTGCTGAAAGTCTATGGAATGACATTTGGCCAAGACAAAACCTTAGGTGCTCCATGGTAACATTGCTCTTCCACAGCCGGGCCTAGCTGTCGGGGGTCTTCCATATACATCATCACTAAAATGTAGAATCATGCGCCTTTCATTGTCTGTGTTGATGTGCACCATCCAGCAGGGCCTGCTCACAGCGTACAGGAGGGCCCGTGGCAATATTCTAAAAAAATATTTGACAGTAGTGAACGTGTCAGACTCAGTACAGGGTCATAGGAATGGCAGTTGTCATGTCTTACTATTAAAATTAAGGACATCAGGCCTCAATAATCAAGTAAAACTAGTTCTAAATCCCACAGAAGACAGTTTCTTGTATAAGTGAGGTACCATGAAGCGGCCCGTGATATCTGCTCCAAGGAAAGAATTCTAAATGCGTATAGTGAAAGTGTATTCAGGGGAGACTACAAGGATCTAAAACATCCAGCGTGTCGCCCTGGTGACACTTGCTTGAAGAAACAGCGGAAAAAACGGAGGAAAAGAAAAAAATTCCCAGAGAATTTTTTTAGCTCCTTACTCCTGACGCTAGGCAAAAAACTGGAGACTTGTCAGCAAGTGAGGGGTTGGGCCACCAGCAGGGGCCGCCCCTAGGCTGTCTTGTCTTTTTAGTTATGTGCCTAGCGTCCTACTCCTGCAGGTGGCGATATACCCTACCATTCAGGATCTACGATCTGTTGCCCTGTGTCCTTCAATGAACGGGAGAGAAACTTTTGTTTACCCCCCGAATACCTTCGCAAGTTCCTACATATTACATACTGTCCTAGATTATTTATGTGTTACTTATAGTTTTATTTAGGCATGCACAGATACCGGTTTTTCAGTATAGAGTACCGATGGCTTTGCCTTTGGTACTCGCTGATACCGAGTACCGATACCGGTGGTTCTGCTGGCATGGAACAGGCTTCCCAGGTAATCAGGAAGTCGGGTGTAGGATAATGACATACTGCCTGGCTTCCTGATTGCCCGGGAAGCCGGCTCCATGTTTGTCCGGCTTGACTGAGATTGGCTGGCATACCGCCCGGCTTCCTGATTGTCCAAGAAGCCGGCTCCATGCTGATTGGCTGGAAAGCCGGCTTCCTGGCCAATCAGCAAGGAGCCAGCTGTTCGGCCGGCTCGATGCTGGTTGGCCAGGAAGCCTGCTTCCCAAACCAACCGGCATGGAGCTGGCTTCCTGGCCAATCAGGAAGACCGGTCATTACTTGCGCCCAGCTTCCTGATTGCACGGTAAGCTGGCTCCATGTTCCCCTACGGCACTGCCGGTCAGAGGAAATCTTCCTCTGACCGGAAGTTCTGGTATCGGGGAAGGTATCGGAGCACCTGGGCAAGTACTCGGTATCGGCACCAATACTAGTATCGGTGCATCCCCAGTTTTATTATAAATGTCTGACCGATAATATGTGTTTTTCTGTAGGAAAGAATGGGCCTCCCTTGGCAATATCAGCAAACAGGAAGCCATGACGGAGTTTGTGGGACTGCTGAACCGATGCTGCCACCTGTTCTCCACATATGTCACATCACATAAAATAGAGAAAGAGGAGCAGGAGAGGAAGAGGTAACACACAATGGCGGTGATCTGCGTAACAAATCTTCCTGTCATCCTCCCTGTTATTCTTCATGTCCCTGCTGGAGCGTCAAAGTTTTTTTTTTTTTGCCATAATAGTGAACATTCTCCCAATGTATAGCTACGTTTAAAGAACCAGATTCGCACCTTTGGCTGGAGGATCGAGTCCTGGTACTGACCAGAACAATACATATCTTTCCTTTCAGGAGGGAAGAGGAAGAGCGCAGGAGGCAGGAAGAAGAGGAACGACAGCGTCTGCTTAGAGAAGAGGAGAAGCGGAGAAGGGAGGAAGAGGAGAGATTGCGGCGAGAGGAGGAAGAGAGGATGCGTGCCGAGGATGAGCGATTCCGCATGGAGCAGCAAAAGTAAGAACCCAGAGTCACTGCTGCCTGGAAGCTCTTCATAGAGTGTGTGAGCTGAATCGCTGCTCAGCCATCAGTTCACGTGGAAGTTACCAAAGTGTTAATAGTATATAAAAATAGTATTCTAGCGAAATGTGTCTTGGCAATATAGCCTAATATACCCCATTAGTACAAAATGTAGCCGTGTCACATGGGCGATTCTCACCAAGGAGAGACTTCCACTTATCCTAACGGATTGGCCCTCCTAGAAAGGCTCAGAACCATGCTGAATCTCACAAGTCAGAGAGCAACATTGTGCTAGTCCAGCCAGCTAGAGAGGAAGTACCTCCATAACAATACCTCCATAGCAAGCAGCAAGTGATTTGTTTGTAATCCTGCCACTGGCGGGTTGTTACAAGAATCGGGATCGCTCATGTGACATGGACTTTACTGTAGAAACAAATTTAAAAGGGTCATTCCATTAAAATCTCATATTGCAGTTTTGGTGGATGCTGGAGAGTGGATCCACCTCTTCGATCATCTACCACACTGACTTCTATGTCTCTAGGATTCTATCGGTGAGATCTCTGAGCTACATTCCTGGTCTGTACACCTGAGGGGTTCCCAGTGTCCTTTGTTGTATTTGTAATTCATTTTATATGAAGGATGATGTAATGGGAAGAGTTGGATGGGAGCACACAGAATGTGAAGTTGAACAGAGACGGGAACATTTTAGGGGGGTGATCTATCTGTTGGGGTCTCAGAGATGCAGGAACTAGGGAATGATTCAAACTATAAAACTGTAAGTGAGCTGACCCTTCATTTTTATGGTGTCCCCACATCCAGTCATCTTCCCCATAGGCAGGTTTAATCTTTCGCTTCTCTGACTGCTCAATTTCCTGCTCAGCACATGGACAGGTCTAAACTAGGAAACAGAAAAGCAAGGTAGTGACAAAGGAACCAGGTAATGTATGTGCCCACGGAAAGGAATTGGGGAAATACACCAATCGGCTGTTATTTTGCAGGACTATTGGTCCATCCGGGTGTTCTATTGGAATCATTTATATCCCAGTGTTCCTTTGTTTGTCTCGGGTACATGTGAAACGCGTGTGCTGGTGTATGCGGAGGTGATATGGATGCCTGAAACCCTGGGCAGTTTAATTGAAAGCTGGTTAAAAGTAATGTTCTAACACGTGGTTAGAGACTGGAAGGGTGAACATTTATTTATTTTATATCTGTCTGTGACCCCACAGAAGGGGGAACTCACTTCCTGTCCCTGTAACGCACAAAAACGGGGGAATCATTTGCCACAGGGACAGGGAAGACCCACCATTGTACTAATAATTGTATCTTTTTCTGTGCCCTCAATGAAGACATTTCCTGTCCGGACTGGAAGTGAGGTACCCATATGGCAATAAACAGCTTTCCCAGTCAAAATCCAAAAAGAAATCACTCTGGCTGGTGATTGGCCTTTGATCTATTACTGATAGATTTACGCTGCGATGAGGCGTTCCTTCCTAGAACAATATACACATCTAATCTCCTAGTTACATTGTCTCTGTATTACACAAAATGTATCCCATTGTGATAAAGAAAAGTGTATAACCTTCCGATGAGAAAATCCTCCGATCACATAAGTCTCCTGGCCATAAAGAGTGGAAGTTTTATCCTTTTTGTATTATGTTTGGGGAAGTTCTTCTGTCCCTGTAGTTGGAGCTGTGTGTAGATTGTAAAGGAGGAGTAAGTGTGACAACGTTTTGTGTCCCCGCAGGCAGCAAATCATGGCAGCCCTGAACTCGCAGACCGCTGTTCAGTTCCAGCAATACGCAGCACAGCAGTACCCCGGGAACTTTGAGCAGCAACAGCTTCTTATCCGTCAACTGCAAGAGCAGCACTACCAACAATACATGCAACAGCTCTACCAAGTGCAGCTTGCCCAGCAACAGGTATGTCACCAGATCCTGAGAGATCACAAACACCAGAGCAGGCACATCTTTAAGGGCTTGTTCACACCAAATGCAGACCTGATCTGCGTGAGTTTCTGCACATGCAATGCAGTGTGTTTTGCTGCGTTTGTGATGCGTTCTGGGCCGTTTTTTGTGTGTGCCTAAAATAGGCTTTCATCGCATTCCGGGGCAATTGAATGCGTTTTACTGCGTTCCAGAGCAGAAAAAACAGGGCATGCTGCAGTTTTTCCACATGCTCCGGAACTGAACGCTGTGGTGTGAACTAGAGCCCAAAATACCATTTGGAATACATTGGATGCAGTTTTCTTGTGTTCTGTAACTGCTCTGCATCTGCTCCGCGCTTGGTGTGAACAAGCCCTACGGAAATGGAATGGACACTGGTAGTCTTCAGTCTCATGGCTATGATAACAGTGCAGCCTCCCCTGTTGGGGATAGTGTGTGTGCTGTTATTTACTTGTATTCCCTCCCTGCAAGCACCTTTTTTAGTGTTTACGGTGCTGAGGCCAGAAATGTAAATAATTACAACCCAACATGACAATTGTGTTTTGAGAGAGAATACCAGTAAATCAGAAATAAAGTGATCCAAGCAGTAAGGCCTGTAGTATTATAACAATTCAGTGCTAAAAATGTCCATCATTGACTGCTTCAATACCTAGACTTGACTGTCAGTGACACAGGACGAGGCATATCCCTAATACCTGCCTGTGTTAGTGGAACGGTTAATAAGAAGGGTTGGGCGGGCTGTTTAAGGGGGTATGGGAACAAGGAACGTCTGTCCGCTAGTTTGGGGGTTTCACTGGTGGTCGCTACATTTGCAGGAGGGGATCACTAGGCTTAGTGTAATCTCTCCAGATTTGTATTTTGTGTGTCCTGTGCTATTGATGTTTTCTATTCATAAGATCATTTAGTCTATTTGTAACTTCTAAATAAAATCTTGTGTATATGGGATTTGCAAGAGCGGACTATGATTTGCTTGTGCTGTGGTATAAAGCTTTCACTTCAGCCATCTACTCCTCTCCTGCAGGCTGCACTACAGAAACAACAGGAGGCAGGATTAGGGGGAAGCGGCTCCCCGGTGAACTCTCCCACTAAGGGAAGTACAGCGGCATCCGGAGAAACCCCCTCTGTGAACGGTCAGAGTCACCCCCATATAGATGGCACTGAAACAGAAATGGAACCTGATCCCCTCGACGATATCCTAGAGAACGGGCCGAAAGGTGAGACCTGAGAGAGAATGCCCAGCCAGGCAACGTCTGTATATACATGCGCTCTGACATCACTTGTTGTAGTTGCCTTTGCCTGGTATTGGTATTGCCTGTCTGGTATTACAGGGACAGGAAGTGAAGGAAAACAACAGCAGTGGACATATCAATGCTTTCTAAAATGTAAATTAAACAAATACAATTTCATTGGCTGCAGTTCTTGTCAGATGGACAATTCTGTAGCTGGTGGCACATCGCCAGAGATGCAACTCCAAAGCTTAAAGACGGATTCCAGGAATTTTTTTTGCTACCCCTGCCCTGCATGGGTTAAGTTCTCATTTGTGTCTAGGTGCTAAAATAACAGATATACTCACCCAAAGCTCTGAGCCAGCCAGCCGTCACGGCGCTCCCTCCAGCCTCTCTCCCCCATCTTGCAGGATTGTCATTTTTCCTCCGCGTCCTCGCGCCTGTATACAGTGTATAGACATTGATGATTTATGGGACCTTAAACCTTTGTAGAGTAGGGGGAGAGACGTAGGAAGGACGGGTTTATGAAGAAGCCGGCTCAGAGCTTCGGGTGAATATATCTTTGTTTATTTGGTTCACCTAGAGACAAAGGAGCGGTTAACCCTTGCAGTGCGGGAGTAGCCCCCCTTCAAGGGTTGATGAAAACAATACTTGGAGAAGGGAAGGAGTTTCCTGGCGAGCCTGTCACATGTGATGTGGGCTTTAGGATCAGCTAATTGAAATGCATATGTTTTATTTTACACAGCCTAGAAAACCGTTCTCGATGACTAGTCTAACGTACTCTTACCTCTCCCTGCTTTCCTAAGCTCGGCTTTATTTTGCCAACATTTTGTTTTATTTTTTTAAAACTGAACTCCAGGTGCAGCCAAATGTAGCTTTAAATGAAGCTGTTACCTCGCCTTGCTCGAACACGAGGTTTGCCTTACTGCCGGCCCCAGTTTTCAGCAATCCCAAGTGAAAAGCAGCATTTGTAGCCTTAAGGTGCAGTAACTTCTTACACATGTATGTATACATGACCATTCACCCCAGCAAGTTCTGTATGAGCTGGGAGACTGGTTGTTTCCTTTCACTGTTGACATCACTATACTAGCTGTGACAGGGAGAGCACTGCATTGGTAAAGACTAGACTCTCCCTGCTCAGAACTGCGCTCCTCTGCTAGTCCAGCCAACCTGAGCCGTGAGTTAGCTCGGAGCTGAGAACAATGAAGAGAGTAGTCATCCTGCTCATCCCCAGTGGTGGTGCAGTACATGGATCTCTCCCAGTTACTGAATTCAGGAGAACCCTTTCTGCTTTGTAACCATTGCTCAGCATCCGGTAGCTGTTAGTTGCCTCAGAGATAAGTTGGCAGGACATTGTGAACAAAAGGTAAATAAAAAGTAGAAAGGAGAACACAGAGCGCTTGTGAGAGCTAATTGCAAACTGTTTTATCGCCGTTCTTGTCATCCACAGCTCTGAGGCAACGAACGACTACAGGGTGGCGAGTGTTAGGGTGCTGAATATACGCGGCTCAAATTCTCTCGTTCCACCCGATTCCCCCATGCGTGCTAACAGCGTGGATGGAGGAATCTCCACTGTTCGCTATTGTATTCAGGCAGCCGTGGCAAAGCATCACTAGCATTAAAGATGATCTAAACAGATTGTTAGCTTCAAAGGTCATCTGAACTGAAAAAACAAAATGTAATCTATTGCATCTTGCCAATCTTTAGATGTGGTGGCTGCAAAGGTTTAATGTTTTCGGGGTTTTTTATCCTTTTATTTTCACCTGATGTTCCTGGAAACACACTTCTTGTCCTAGGGTGACAACTCGCAGTACTGTATCTCACTTACCTTGCTGTACTGAGGAACAAGAATTGTCTTGGGACTTGAAGAGCTCTCCCCTCCTCTCCCATAATATAGGAGGCAGATGTTTGTAGTTCAGAGGAGACCTAGGCAGGGTTGATTACACTGAATACACAGGTCAGCACTGGATTTCTGTATTTTACTCTATCATGTATTTAACAGACCAAAAGGGAGCACATAGGAGAAGTTCATTGTTGGGGTTTGCATACACATTTTAAGCTCACATCTATATGTCACAAGTTTTAATAGCTAAGCTACATGGGTGTGTTTTGGATTATCTTTTTGTGCATCGAATAGCCTTCTAATTAGCAGTGATTAATTATTGGGGGGTGGCCATTGTTTGCTCATCAATGGAACCAATAACTCTCTATGGTGTAAGCCATACAAGTGGCACCTAGTAGCCATTGCACAAAATGTGGATTTGCATAGCTTACAGCACAGGGTGACATTTTTCTCCGGACGATTTAATAGCATGATTGAGTTGTCACCTTCGCAGGTCAGGCCTAAATTCCTTTTTTAAGGTTTCCTTCGTTCATGAAATGTACCATAAAAGCTCACTCATGGCCAGGCTTGTTCTCTGAAGGTGTCCAGCGATTTGTGGGATCTGCACCTAAAATGATGTGACCTTTCCTTCTACAGAGAACACGCCGGTGATAGCAGCTCCCTCCATGTGGACCCGGCCACAGATAAAAGACTTCAAGGAGAAGATCCGGCAGGACGCAGACTCGGTGATCACTGTGGGACGAGGGGAGGTGGTGACGGTCCGAGTCCCCACACATGAAGAGGGATCCTACCTCTTCTGGGAGTTTGCCACAGATAATTTTGACATTGGTTTTGGGGTTTACTTTGAATGGACAGACTCCCCAAACACAGTGGTCAGCGTTCACGTCAGTGAGTCCAGCGAAGAGGAGGAGGAGGATGAAGGTTGGTTGGAAGGTCTCCTGTTGTCACTTTCCTCTTACAAAGAGCCTGCAGAGCTTTGTGATGACTGTTGTGGCCAAATGCTTTCAGCTGATGGCAGCAAATTGTGGTTTATTTTATTAACATGCTGCACTCTAAAGCTCCTCACACAAGTTACACACTTCTAATAATGATTTAAATCTAAACTCCGGGCAGATATAAAGCAAATGCCAAATGATCTATTCATTCAGAAGTAATTAGGGTGGAATTAAAGTTCCACTCTACAAACATTTCTAGGAGTATTTTGGCAATAGAAGGCATGCTAGGTCTCCCTTGCTAAAAAATTCACCATGCAGTGTACATCAGGACTCGGTCAGTATGCTGAGAATAGAGCTGGGTGCATGTTCAGGGGTTGCATCATTGCTGGCTGAAGAAGAGGCTCTTGGGTCCTGGAATAAGTGGCAGTAAAGATGGTGGAGGCGTCAGTAGGAGTGCCAACTGGAGGAGGGCACACAGAGGTTTTGTGCCATGATGTGTATGTATGCTGCGCATACTTGCACATTTTTCCAAAGGTTCACCCGCACCGTGGAATTTAATTCCGATTTAAATGCAGGTCGTGTATGCACCTTAACTTGGTATGAGCTTCTTGCAATCCCCGAGACAGCAGCACTTAGACTGGGAATAGGTCGGGCTAAACTAGGAGCCAGTCAGACGATCATAAGGAACATGCCCAGAGCAGGAGCGGGCAGAATGAGCAGGCGGATGAGCTCGGTAGTATGACGTTACTCCTTCATTGTCCAGTCACAGGTGGGGGATGGGAGATGACCAGATTATATTACTTTACCACAGTATAGAAATAACAGGTTGCTCTGTGGCAGGGCTGTGCAAATCTCAGGAGTGGCTAGATAGAATTACACATCCTTTAACAGGGTGACACACTGCCCAGCTTCTTGATTGCCCGGGAAGCCAGCTCAATGCTGATTTGTTGTGAAGCCGGCTTCCCAACCAATCAGCATGGAGCTAGCCAAACAGCATGGAGCTGTCTTCCCGGCCAATCAGTTAGCCGGATGGAGAGTCATTACCCACCGCCTGGCTTCCTGATTGGCCGGGAAGCTGGCTCCATGTTCCCTCACGGCACTGCCGGTCAGAGGAAATCTCCCTCTGACCGGAAATTCCTTTATCAGGGAAGGTATCGGAACATTTGGGCGAGGTATGGGTTCTCGCCCATATACTCGGTATCGGTACATATCGGTCCATAGTTTTAACATAACATATTTTGAGCAGTCAGAGCTGAAAATAATCAATTTTGGGTTAAAAAAAAATGCGTTTGAGTATGGAATTGATCTCAAGGGGCCACAGTTGCTGCCAATTTTGCCATGTCGGGGGAGGGGATGAATGAGTGGATAAGAAAAATCTTTCCAACCTCTCTCGAGCTGTTGAATCCACCATGTGGTAAACATTCCACAGCTTAACCTCTCTTACTGTAAAGAAGCCTTTTCTATACTGATGGTAAAGCCGCCTTGCTTTCATATGCAGCTGAAGGTCCTCTTGTCCTGTGCCTCTGGATTTGCGCACTCTATACATTGACCTTGGATAACCATTTATTGGATAACCGTATGAATTTGCCACTATGATGAGCAGTAAAATCTTCCTCGATGTATCTGGTTAATCGTCTTCTTTTCTTCACAGAGAACCCGAACAGCGAAGAGAAAACCAAGAAGAATTCCAGTAAGCCTCAAGTGGATGAAATAGTGCCGGTCTACAGGCGGGATTGTCACGAGGAGGTTTACGCTGGAAGTCACCAGTACCCCGGCAGGGGGGTCTATCTGCTTAAATTTGACAACTCTTACTCCTTGTGGAGGTCAAAGTCTGTCTACTACAGAGTGTACTACACCAGATAAAGGGTGAGGGGGGTGGAGGCCAAGGCCACGGGCCGGGCTTAGGCAGAGAGTGGAACACTTTTTGCTGTATCCCATCGAGTCAGTGTTGTCCCTCCATCTCTCATCTTCCTGTCAAATTTGGTGGCTGACCCCGCTTTAGTGCAACACTAACTCAGCCCAGCGCAGTTTATTCCTTTCGGTTCCATCGAGCCTCCTGACAGTGGAAGGGTCGAAGCGTTGGAATTTAACTTCGCCCGCAACTCATCCTCCTGTACGGAAGTTTTATCACATTTTTTTTTCCCATCTTTTTTAATTAAGCCCCTTTTTTGGAGTTTTCTGATCCGCAGAGGAGGAGCAGGAAGTTGCGCGTGGGAGTGGCATGGTGTATCGGCGGGAAAGTACATTGGCTCATGAAGAATTCCTGTCTGTTTCTGGTGTTGGTGTGTATAACGTCTCTCTTGCTTTGAAGACCCGAATGACACGAAAAGCATCCATAATAATTCTCTTTGGAAATTCTGTACTGAAGGGGGAGCGGTTCTGGACGATGAGATAAGATACGGCTGCTCTTCTGATTGAACTGTGGACCCGGGCTTGGAGACTTGTGTGAAACGTGGCTGAATGAAGTGGTTCTCGCCGGATGGATGAATGGGATCCTTATTAACTTAATATTGGAGATTTAATACGGGCAGGGTAGATAATAGCCAGACTGTCTGCTGCATGATTGATTCTTCCTTCTCCTCTCCGTTATTATTACCCATAGCTATGTATGATGCCGTACGGCCTGTCTGCAGTATCCCCGCCATATCGATCCTGTTGGTTTGTCAGAGGAGTTTTATATTCTGACGTATCTAAAAAAAAATGTTTCTGGTACGCAAATGAAATGATCTCATGTACCCTGTGAATCTGATATTAATCCAATGAATTATGGTTTGTAATAATAATTATTCTCTAATATTTCGAATGCGACTCATTTATTTCCAAGGCTCCCTGACTTGACCCAAAGAGGAAACCCTCGCCTTCAATAGGTAATGGTTCGGTGAAGTAAGGGCAGGTTGGCACCATTTTCTGGATCAGATCTGCTCTGGAAAATGTTATCAACCTGCCTGCAGTTCCCGTGCATTCCAGAGCAGACATGCAGTATTTTTCTGGTCTGGTCTGCACTGGTGTGAACAGAGGCCAGAAATAGCATAGGGATACATTAGGGTGCATTTAAGGGTCTGGAAAGGGTCTAGTCTGGAGATGATCTGGATGTGGTGTGAATGGGCCCTACAAGTGTATATACACCCAAGAAGAGATATTTATGTGCAGCTTACCAGTCCTGAGATGTGGCTGCTGCATTGGTTTTCTTTTTTTCTGGCTAAGTCTATTTTCTACAAATACCTGTTGATCCTGCCAGAGATCTTGTGTCCTTTTTAACTTCCTGTGAGCTAAATTAAAATATTGAAGAGTCTCGCCGGCCTTCCCAGCTAGCTCTGTACTACAAGGCTACTCCTTGTTCTGTAATGGAGAAGAGAAGGTGTTTGAAGTCCATGTCATAGGACACAACACTGTTCCTCCATAGATGCAGTGTGTGGTCCTAAGACAGGAAGCGTGTTACTGGCAGGATCACCAGGTGAAATAAAGGACAAAAAGAAAACGAATGCAGCCGCCACATCTGAAGGTCGTTTTTGATCGTTTGTATCCTCCATCTACGGTATACGAGTAGCTCATATGAAGAAACTTCTGGGATGGAAGCTGCAACTCTTCATTGGAACGTGTGCATGGTATGCTCGCTGTTGATCCGATTGATATGGGTGGAGGAAATCTGCACTGTCACATTTCTGGCACAGATTGGTCACCGCTAGGTGTGAGAGAACATTTTCGGGTCCCCAATCAGCCTGTATATGGGGCAACTTTAGAAGTAGACGGGATTGAGGAATTGTGCTGCAGTCATTCTCCACGATATACACATTCACGTTGCACTAATGTCACGTTTATTCAATAGAAATGCGCGATCCGCGAAGTTGTGTGCTTGTCACCGCGGTTTTATTTTTCCGGGTCTGACGGATTTGTTCATCTACTTTGTTCATGTTCTGTCACTAAATCTCGCAGTTACCGGAGATAAATATTGTTTCTTGTTCTATTTCTTGCTATGACCCCCTGCAGAAGATGGCCGTGTCCACACTCTGCTGTCTATGGGGTGATCTAGAAGTAGAAGTTTATTTTGTGTTTGCCTGTTTTTGTGCACTTTCTGTTTTGGTCAATACACATGAATGTCCTATGTCTCTGTCCCCCTTTCCCACCCTCCATTGTCCATAATATGGGACTGGAAAGGTTACACGCTCTCAGTATTGGAGCCTAAAACAATCCTTTGTCATAGTTAGATGCTGGAAGTTGACTGATGAAGTATCTGCGGATTTCTTTGCCATCTGTTGGCTGGTGGTGGGGCAGTTTTTCTGGGGTCCTTTGGAACACAGTGGCACTTAGTGGTTAGCACTTCCTCCTTGCAGCACTGGGGAGAGCGGGTCTGAAGGACATCTGCTTGGAGTGTGCATGTTCTCCCTGTACTTACGCGGGCTTCCTCCCGGCACTCTGGTTTCCTCCCACATGCCAAAAGACATGGTGGGAGGTTAATTGGCCCGTCTAAATTTAAAATAAGGTCCTTAGATTGTAAGCTCCTGGGGGGCAGGGACTGATGTGAATGTGCACTGTGTGAAGCGCTGTATAAATAGATGGGGGGTCGGAGGCTCTTCAGCGGGGGTTGTACTACACAGTTAGTCCCCTTTAACACGGGCTGATCAGGAGAGGATATGCGTCAAGACACGGATGTCACTGCTGTTGGTCTATGGGGAATCTGATGTAAACTAACATCTGTCCATTTAGAATCGGATTACACCCTATGTGTCACAAGCTGACTATATTCTGTAAGGTCCTCCTCCCTGATCCGATTAAAGTAATCGGATAGTTTAAGTAGGTTCTCAATTTACATCGGCGAATATAAAGGAGATTGTTCAGTCAGATTGTTTTGTGCATGGAGGGGGGGGGTTTTTCTTGGCTTATCCCAGATATCTCCCCAAGAATGATGGGCTGAACCCACTGCAACTGTCACCGGGCACAACCAATCATTCTTCTCTTTTGAAGGATGCAGGTCTGCTCAGTGGGAGATAACTGGTGATTCGGGGAAGTCAGAAGTGCTACTTATTGCCCTCTAGCACATCGGGAATGGATCATTGCAAATCGTGCCTGCATTCACAAAAGGATTGTGGTAGCCTAGCGGGTAGAGCCAATGACGGGTACCTTGTATGGGTCATATTAGAGTATGAGGCAAGGGCACATTAGACACGGTTATGAAATGCAGAGAGATTTACTAGCAAGGACACTTGTAACTGAACCTTTAAAGATCATCTCCATGTTCCCTGACCACTTCAGTCTTTAACCCAGCAGTGACCTTGAAAAAAATTGGAGGGATACATTCATGAATTCTAGGTGTCTTCTGTGCAGTCGCATGGTCCACTTTTCCAGCTTTGGGTGATGTGTGGTCTTCAACTTTGCTTTGAATGTTGCCCAGTTCCTATGCAGCGAGTGTAGCCTAGGGGTGTGTCCATGACAGCCTGGGCTCACAGGAAGGGGTTGGATGACACTGGTCCTGGCTGTCTATGATGACACTAGCCTAGGGGGTGTGTCCATGACAGCCTGGGCTCACAGGAAGGGGTTGGATGACACTGGTCCTGGCTGTCTATGATGACACTAGCCTAGGGGGTGTGTCCATGACAGCCTGGGCTCACAGGAAGGGGTTGGATGACACTGGTCCTGGCTGTCTATGATGACACTAGCCTAGGGGGTGTGTCCATGGCAGCCTGGACTCACAGGAAGGGGTAAATGACACAGGCAAGCCTTAAAGGACATCTAAACCCAAGAACACAATGTTGTGTATATTGCAGCTGAAGGTGGTGACCGCATTAGCTTTCTTATTTCCCCGGTAATCCTGTGTGAACACACTTCCTGTCTCTGGGTGGGTTTGCTCACATTAGATCTACTGACTGGGCCATGGTTATCACCCAGACTGGACTTCAACACTCCAACCCAGGCTGAAATTCTGCCTTTTGTTCAGCATCAGTACACGTGAGGTTATGGGATTAGTAGTTTGTAGATACAATAATAAGATTGGTTTTAATGTCTGATCAGCTTACAGGAAGTTAAAAGGACACAGAATTCCCGGCAAGCTCCACCGGTAGTTTCTGTACTTGCCGAAAATGTTTGTAGCCTGAAACAAAGAAAACGAATGCAGCCATCACACCTGCTAAGCTGCACTGAATGACATTTGTGAGGTTAGGTACGCTCTGTCTCCTCTGTATAGAAGAGTCACAGGTAGGCAATGCACTCTTTATAACTGAATGCCAATTACTGATTGTTACTGTCCCACCATCTTTATTCTTTCCTCGTGAGCTCTCTGTAGCCTTGGTGTGATTTTCCTGCCCGGCCGCCTTCAAGCTGTTCCGTAATACAAGTGCAATTTAAGAATGAGATTTCTCGAGATGAATATATTTAACCCTATAATGACAGTTCTCTGTATATTTCCTATTCTTTTGTGTGTTTTGATATTTCATCTCTCTGTTGTCTGACCAGAAGGATTGTCATACACTGTAAATCAAATTCTTATGAAGCAAAATGTTTATCTTCATTAAAACCGTCATTTTCTCCTTTTTGATTTCACAATTGGATGTTGTAGAGGTTTTATTGGGTTCTGAGCGGCAGATGGTGGATCTGAAGTCTCTACACTGTGATTGTGTATAGTAGGTAACCGATCACTTGCCTTCTTTGGAGGAAGTTAGGCCGTGCACACACACTAGTATGGGCTTGTATAGAAAGGGGGGTGCACACTAGTATGGACTTGTATAGAAAGGGGGGTGCACACTAGTATGGACTTGTATAGAAAGGGGGGTGCACACTAGTATGGACTTGTATAGAAAGGGGGGTGCACACTAGTATGGACTTGTATAGAAGGGGCGTGCACACTAGTACGGCTTTTATAGGAGGCGTGCACAATAGTACGGGCTTGTAGAGGGGAGGGGCGCGCACGCCAGTACGGGTTGTAGAGGGGAGGGGCGCGCACGCCAGTACGGGCTTGTAGAGGGGAGGGGCGCGCACGCCAGTACGGGTTGTAGAGGGGAGGGGCGCGCACGCCAGTACGGGTTGTAGAGGGGAGGGGCGCGCACGCCAGTACGGGCTTGTAGAGGGGAGGTTTGTTTAGAATGCTGCAAGCAGAGCTGACAGTTGCTTTACATTTTTGAGACCAGACTCACTACATCCTGGATCTCCGGGTCAAATTCAGCAATCACTTAATATGAATAGAACTTTAGTCATTTTTACATTTGACTTCTGCAGCTTATATTCATTTTTATATAATTTTTTGTTTTAAGGACACGTGCTTTTATTTGGCACATTTTAATACATTCTCTGCTGATGTTTTTATAGCTTACAATTACAGTATTGAACAGAGTTGCACTGCTATCTTCAGGCTGAATAAGCATTTGCCATCTGAAGGTGCCCACACACCTTACAATTATCTGCAGATGTTCTGTGGTCAGATGGAAAACGTGCAACAGAATGGCCCGGGTGGAGATTACTCCATCCATACAGCTTAGATGGAGGAATCTGTTCCACCTTTTCCATCTGACCATAGAAAATCTGCAGATAATTGTAAGGTGTATGGCCAGCTTAAAAGTTATTTTTTTTTGTGAATTCTGCTCCTGCTGCCATGTGATCACTAATTCATAGCTGACCAAGTGATTATATGATTGGAAACCACTTTGATTGATTG